CCCCAAAACCCCAAAACCCCAAAACCCCAAAACCCCAAAACCCCTGACTTTTATTTTACGGTTGAGTCTGCTTTAATTGGATTATTTTAGTTAGATTTTAAACTTTTCACAATGGAGTCGACGGTTGGAGAACTCTACGGTTTCCCCCATATCTCCCTTGATTTTATTGTTGATTAATCTCTTCTTTCTTGTCCTGTTCTAAAGAGAAGTGTGAGATTTATAATCCAATAGAATCCTGCACATATAATGCATATAGATGCTTATTTTTATTTAAGGAATAGAATAAATTTCTCACTTACTCTTAACTTGTCAAGCCCTTTCTCATAGTTGTCTTCATCCTTGTTAGATGCATTATAAATTGTATTTTTCTTTCCTGCATCTGTGATAATCGACTTTGCCAACTCTTTCTTCGAGAATTCAAAAGTGTCAGGAAGTTCAACATAGTTAACAAGATGATTTATGTTTCCTTTTGCTTTGTAAATCTTTCTATTCTGCTTTTGCATTTTCTTGCTAATCTTTTTACAGTGTCTCTTATATTCTTCAGTTCCAACATCTCCTTGAGGAATCTATGTTAAAGATAAATAAAAGATTAACTTTAATTATGAGTCTTACCATCTCATTGGCTGCTTCAACAGTCAATATCTTGTAACCATTAGCTAAAGAGTTCTCTACTGAGGTATCTGTTGAACATGATTCATTATCAAAAGTAGAAATGGCTTTCTTTGTATTATTTTTCTTTTTTCTCTGAGATTTCTTGTCAATTACCTCATAGTGTGAATTATCTGTGTACACTCTATATTCAGGAATAGGATTTCCATCTTTCTTGAATGTGGCTGCTGTCTTTCCCTGATCAGCGCGGTGCTGAGTATTTTCAAAGTCTACCTTGTTATAGCACAAGTGTTCTTGAATCTGAATATCAATAGAAGTTTTGTTCTTAGCAATCTTCTTGTTGGTCTTGTACTTAGACTCTCTTTTTACCATTGTTTTTATTAATTAACTTTGATAATCTTAATAAAATTCTGATTTTATTCATTCAATCCAGCCAATTAAAGACGGGGTTTTGGGGTTTTGGGGTTTTGGGGTTTTGGGGTTTTGGGGTTTTGGGG